CAGCGAGAGTAGCAGCAGCAACAATGCGCTTGAAGACAGCACGTCGTTTCTTGGCGAGCTCTTCCCCAAGCGGCGACCGACGACGACATCGGCGGTAGCGCGCAACACGAGCATCGATAGCGTCAAGCTCGTGAGCTGGTTGCTGCCCAACGAACACCAAAAGAAAGAAAGTCTCGCAGTCGCCGCCGCCCGCGCGGTCGAGGTAACCACATCTCCATCATCCGACTTGGATGATCATAGCCCGTGTCTGCACAGAGCGCCGAAGCCGCCCGCTCCGAGTGTCGACACGCGTATGCTGGTTTTGAGGATGCACGCATTGCCTTGTACCGGTCCACGCAGTCGATCCTCAACGACTACCAGGTTGAAACTGGTCGTTCCGAGTTTGCACTTACGACTTGCATTAGACCATTTCGGAGCACCGTAGTACGCAGCTCACGACGAGTCTGCGCAAGCACATCGTCTTCGAGTCGGCGACCCTTGCCAACCTACAAGTATTGCCTACTATTGTCTCGCGCAGTCTGGATATGCTTTGATGTAGTACGACTGGCAAATGGTGGCCAAGCCCATGGAAGCGGTCGACGTCGACGCCGACATCCGTGCGTTCATCTTGCACAACTACCGCCCAATCGTGCCGCACATGACGATCTCGGACCTCTGCACGACCGAGTCGCCGCTGCCGCACCCACCGCGCACCAAAGCGTTTGGCCTTCACGACGTGACCCTGCGCCGGTATCCCCTCGACACGAGCGGCAACCGGCAGTCCGTCTATGGCTGGCTCGTCACACGCGACCAGAGCATATACGAAAAGGACGCTAGGCCCGCGGCCGTGCCCGTCGTACCGTCGCATGCCGTCGCCAAGGCGGTGCAAGCGGCGCTGGCATGCGTCATCTCCACCGTCGCCAAGCCCGAAGACACGGCGTTGCCCGACGACAAGCGAGACGACGACGACCGGGACTCGTCCGAGAGCACGCACAGCACCGAGTGCTAACTGTTTCAACTTGAAACATCATGAGCAGCTTGACCGTCGTTTTCGGTCCGAAGCTCGCGATCGTCACTGGAAGAGCACCATGGTCTCGATAGTTGACATAGTAGTAGAGCTGTGGGCAGTGTACGTGTAAGCTCGCAGCGTTGGCATCATGGGTGGCTTCTATATCGGCTGCTACTCAGAGGCTAAGATGTGCGCTCCTACAGGCCTGCTACTGTACTCCACCAAGTCGAAAGCAGAGGTCGCGTGGTGCATGCATCCAGCATATTCTCTGGCTACTTCAGCACGGCGCTGCCTGTAGCCCTCTTGCGAGGCCACATAGGGCGCATCAGAGTCGGACGGCCCATGGGCAACGCGACACCGACGCGCTCGAGAGCGTGCGAGGGCCCTCGCCCGGCGAGGGTCCATGGCCAGGCGTCGCGTCGGTCATCATGGCCAGATCCGTTCCCCAGAGAACACCTCGATCTTACCGAAATCATCCGGATAACGAGCCTATCGTCTCTTGCATCATCCGAGCGTCGTCATCGGCAAGAGAGTGAGATGCCAAGCAACCAAGCTGAACTCGACGCCGACGATAGTGAGATCGCGGGCGACGTAGACCTCTACGTCAGGTGCGTCCGCTGCAAGTGTGCATGTGGCGGCTAACGCAGGCGCAGCGACGACGGAACTATCGCCGAGGCGAAGCGCCAGCCGCGCGTCGTCGTGCTCGAGCGCCAACTCTCGGCCAGCGAAAAGGTCTGCTGTCACGACGCAAACGATGGCGCTGACGCAGTCACAACTAGGAGCTCCATCAAGCGGCCGAGTATGGCATGCAACTGCTGCAAGCGAACGACGAGCTCCAAGCGACCATCTCGCGGTAGGCTCCACCTGTCTACTAGTAGCACGTCATGTTCGCCCGTCCTAGGCTACACGTGGAGCATGACACGAGCGCGAATGAGCTCCAAGGTGAGCTGCGCGCGCTCCAGCGCCACTTGCTCGCCGTTCAAAGCGAGCGCGACAGCTGGAAGCAGTACGCATTCGACATTATCGCGAGCTGCCAAGCCCATGCTAATAAATGTAGAAAGTATATCGAGCTGGACGAAGCGGTGTCCGCTTCGTCGTTTGAGCCAGCACCGATCACGGCCTCGCTCATCGACGACCAGGTCGCCGCGCAACTGGCAGCCACCCTATCGACGCTCGAAGGAACCGAGCAAGAACTCGCGGCGATCATCGTCGAGAACGACCGCCTCCGCGCCCAGCTCTCGAGCGCGCGCGCCGAAACACGGGAAGCGCACGAGCAGCTGCGTGTGCACGCCAAGCTCGGGAGCGACTCGGCCGAGGCGCTGCAAGACTACCGGCGTGAAATGAACGACCAGCTGCATGCTGCCAACACCAAGATCAAGTGGCTGCAGCAGCTCTTGGATGCACGGTAGATCATTAAAACCGACTCGCTGTCTATTCCATCAGAACTGATTGTACTCGTCTGTAGCGACCAAGTCGAGAGTCAACTGCACCAAAAGATCAACGTAGGCTCATGCACAAGGACATCACCGTCACCGTTTGCGGTAGGACTTGACACTCGAGGTCGAAGCGAGCTCGACCGAGTTTGAGTCCAAAGCCAACCTCATGCAGTCGATGCTGCAAAAGTGCGCGCGCCTCGAGAAGGAGCTCAGCGTCTTTGAGCAGGTCATGTCCAACCAGCTCTCGCCCGTGTACACTTCGTCGCACGAGGCGATGCTTGAAGCCGCGTCGTTTGACCGGCTCCAGAATTTCTTCAATCTGACCGCGCTCGGCATCGTGCTCGAGATGCACGCCGAAGAGTACTATCTCGACACGTCGTCGCGCAAGATGTTTGAGATCTGGTTTCAGCAAGTGCTCGCGTCGGACCTGCCGTTCCAGAAGTGGGCGTCGTGGCTCACGCACCGCATTTCCAATCACATGGTGGCCACATCGCCATCGTCGCACTCGCCAAGGTACAGCCGCCTTCTGCTCAACGTGCTATAGAATAAGACCGTGTGTTTATGTACATCTTGTCACGTAGCAAAGGGAGAAGCTTCTCGACCGCGTCGTTCGGGAAAGCTATCACGACCAGCCTCTCGACCGTCCTCTTCAACGCGACCAAAAAATAGCAGTAGATAGAGGTCCTAACGACAACGACCGCCCGTGTAGTATGTATCTAATACGCTAGCGTACACGTGACACCCGCCAGGATGGGGCTAGGGTTCATGCGGGCGGGGTAGGGTTGGCGGCGGTGGCAGGGGCCGAGAGAGTGGCGACGCGATCGTGGCGGTCAGGTAGAGCTCGATTCCCCGTCCTGCCGATGTGGTAATATCACGTCAAAAGGGGATACCTGGTATATAAAAACCCAGCAGTGTTCGACATGACAGCGTACCCATGAAGCGTACGCGTCGTTCTGATGGCAATTCTGATCGATACCGGTCACTGCAAATATGTACCGGTATCCTCGCAGGACTGACGATTACGCCGTGCAGCATCTCGCCCACGAACATCCATGAACACGGTTTTGCGACGCTTGACATGTGAGTCCTTGGCCTTGGTACAATTTTTATTTTTTCAAGTCGCCAGCGCCGCCCATTCCGCCCTCACTGAGGCCAGGCGGGGGGACAGTATACTTTATTCCAGTCAAACTGACACCGCGTGCACTGAGGGCAACCACGCAGTTTTGCAGCACATGCTACATGCAATGGTCGTCTGGCGAGGGATTGGCTACATTCAAACGCTTCGCTTGGCTATCTCTGTCCATTTTCACACACATTTCGTCCATCGAAGTCCTACGGCCCCGTGTCCATTCCCGCAATGTCCTAGTACGGGAGGATATACTCTCTACCTTCTATCTACCTTTAGCTTGTGCTACGCAGACGCTTCTAAATGTGAGGCGCCAGTGTAGGCAGCTCTGTCCTCTTCGCCATCGCCGCATCTGGAGGCCGTCGATCGAACGCGCCAACATGGCACAATCTGCGCGGCCTGAGCTGCGGCCGCTCGTCGCCGTGAGGTGTCGTCTCGTCGTCTGTGCTTTTGATTGGTGCAAAAGTGTATCTTACGGATACGGTGTGTGAGTCACGTCCTGGACGTGGGTATACCTTGGCCAGGTCGATTTTATTCCGCAGCCCTCCAAGCTATCTTGATGTTTGTATTGCTTTTGGTCCAATGGAATAAAATCGAATTATATTCGTTTAGAACCCGAGCCAATATAGAAGGGCCGATAAGAAATGGCATTTTCAGTTTGCACTTCGACGCCGGAGTACCTCAGCCCATGCGCATTGCGACGCTCCTCGTCTTGCTGCCGGCGCTCGCCGTGAACCTCGCGTCCGCGCTCGCGCCCATCATCGTGCGCGGCAACTACATGTACAACTCGGAGACGGGCGACCGCTTCTTCATGCGGGGTATGACGTACGAGTACGACGTGAGCGATAAGAACTATGCGGCCAACTCCAAGGCCGCGATCGCGCGCGCCGTCACCGACTTCAACGGGACGCTCAACACGCTCCGCATCTACAACGTCAACCCAGAGAACAGCTACAAGGAGTTTATGACCGACATGGAGGCCGAGGGTATCTACGTCATGGTGTCGGCGTCGCCCTCGAACGTCGCGTACTTTGGCTCGTACATGTACTCGACGATCACGAAGAACCTCGCGGCCGATAGCCAGCCCACGTCGTGCTACCCGTCGTACCTGCTCGACTATGGCAAGCGCATCGCGCTCGCCTTCTCGCAGTTCAACAACACGCTCGGCATGGTCATGGCCAACGAGGTCATGCAAATGTCGCTGCGCCCCGCCGCGTGCGTCAAGCAGTACGTTGCGGACGTCAAGAACTGGATGCGTGCCAAGTCGACCAACATGCGCGTGCTCCCGCTCGCGTATGCGGCCGCCGACAGCTCGTACGCTGGTGAGAAGGACGACACGGAGAAGCCGGCGGCCGCGCCGGCCGCGGACGAGTACACAGTCATCAAGATCCAAGGTCTTCTCTGCGGCGACAAGATGGTCGACGGCACCATGCAGCAGAGTATCGACATTTACCTCCTCAACGAGTACCGGTGGTGCAACAGCAACAACTTTGGCAACTCGTACCAGCGCCTCCTCAACCTCGCCAAAGGTGTCCCGATCGTCATGGCCCTCGGCGAGTACGGCTGCGACCTTGTCAACCCGCGCACGTTTGACATGATCCCATACCTCTTTGACGACGCCAAGACGTCCAACGGCTTTACGGATGTCTACTCGGGCGGCTACGCCTACTCGTTTGGCGAGGCGTCGCTGCCCAAGGGCTCCAACTTTCCGCTCTTCACGGGCGGCGACATGGCCATCTCGGGCAAGCCCGGCACGACCGCGACGCCGTCGTATGCGAACCTCCTCTCGCAGTTCAAGAAAAACCCGACCGCGGGCTTTGCCAAGGCGGCGTGGAAGACGGACGACAAGTGCGCTTGGGTCCCGCCGCTTGCGACCAGCGTCGACGTTAGCAACGCGCGCGCCGCGTCCGGCTGGATCCAGCCGACGTGCGACAAGATCAAGGTCATCTCGACCGACACGTGGACGACCGTGACGCGCGAAGGCATGGTCTGCAACGACAAGGGCGGCACGTGCGACGTGCCGGTGCCGGCCGCGGCGTCGGGCATCCCGACGCAGAAGCTCCTTTGCAACCGCGCCGAGAACGTCACGGCGGGCGGCTTCGCGTGCGTGACCAAGGGCGACTGCAAGAACGGCGCGTGCTCGAACGGCAAGTGCGTCTGCAAGGCGTGCTTCTCGGGCCCGACCTGCGCGATCGCAGTCGCGGGCTGCACGCCGGGCTCGGGCCCGAACGGCGTCGACGCCACGGACGGCGGTGCGACGGGCAGCGGCGCCAGCACCCTCCACGGCGCGATCTCGGTCGCCCTCATCTTCGCGACGGTTCTCGCCATGTAGACAGCCATTCCGTTGGTCGTGTAACACGAAGTTGAACACTCTTTTTGATGTCGACTGGCTTTTCTGCAATGTAGTCGGCTATCAACTAGACGCGCATTGTTTAGTCGGTGTGAACGACTAACGAGACGCGCACGGTTTCAAGCCAAAGCATGTACGCGAGCCCGCTCGACCAAGCGCTCGAGATCCCATTCGATCCCTTCCGAGAGCTTCACAAGGACGATGACGACCTGGCCTGGCCCGAGTACCCGTACAAGCACGTACGACCATCGTCTCGGTGCAGGAGGCGACGTGATGATGCGAGGATACATAGCGCGAGCTGCAAAAGGTGCTGGACCGCGTCCCGGGCTGCACGAGGCGGCAAGCGGCCGGCGCGCTCCTTGTTAGTCGGGGCGACGCGGCCAAAGCGATTGCGTCCTTCGCCCTCTTTCTCGACCGGGACGAGCTCCAGACGCGCTTCGAGGCCGAGCGGTCGGCGTTTGCGGCTGCCAAGAAGGCGTACGTCTCTGGACCGTCGAGAGGATGTACATGGAGGTCGTCGATGCATAGGTACATTCTCGAGACGACGGCGCGCGTCCGGGCGCAGCTGGAGGCAGCAGCCAAGCGCGGTGCGCTCGCGGCCGACGTCGCCATCGACGTGGCCTTCCGCTCGTCGATCAAGGCCATTCGGTATGCCAACGGTGCGAAGACACGTCCAAGTAGCTCGCAATCATTTGAGCGCATGGCAGGCGACAAGTACGAAGGCCAAGTGCTTGAGCGGGACGGCGTCATGGTGCCCCATGGCAGCGTACGACATCTTCCTACATGGTGCTTGCTGCTATAGGCGTCCATCTTAGGGCACGATGCTGGTGCGCGACCCGACGACCAAGCCGCTCAACCCACTCGAGCACCTCAGCGTGCCCAAGTACACGGGTGCGGCATCCCCATGCCTCGCCCCACTCGTCCTCGATAGCACGCATACTGCCTTCTTCGTAGGTGACTGGCAGCATGGGCTCCATCATGGCAACGGGCGCTACTACTGGGACGACAAGACGAGCTGGGAGGGCACTTTTCTGGCCGACGAAATGCACGGCAAGGGCCTCTTCTACCCGGCGCCCGAGGAGAACGGTGACGACGATGGCGTTGACATGGATGGTCATCGCGCGGCTGGCCGTGATCGGTACTATTATAAGGGCCGCCACGTGTGCTGGGGCGACGGTAGAAGCTCGCGATGCGATCTCATGTTGAAGCAGATCGTAGACCTCGTCGCGAACGCTCGTCTACGCATCCACGGAGCCCGAGGCGCGTCGCACTCGGCGACGATGATGTTTCGGTCGCCGCCGCCACGGGAGCCGCCACTCGAAGGCTCTGTCGTGGCTTACAATGCGACACTGGACACGCACTGCCTCCGTCTCGGCGATACGTCCGAACGCTGGCTGTGCCTCAGCGGCGTTGACATGGAGCTTGTCAGCGCCCGCCCCCATCGGCCCATTCATTGGATAGGAACACACGCTATAGATTCAACTCGGTAATAATGGCCTTTAGCTCGCGCTTGGTGGCTTTTGGTGGAAGTCGACGAGCTCGACGATCTGGTCGAGGCTGCTCAGGAGCAGGTCTTCATGCTGCATGTTGGAGAGGAGGCGCATGGACGCGGCTTCGAACCGCCGGTACGCGTTGCGGTACGCCGAGAGAATCGAGTCGGTGAACGCGCCGACTTGGTAGTTGTCGCCGACGTCGGTCTCCATCCTTGGCACCGCCAGCATCGACGCACTCAGTGCGGGCTCGGGCGCCAGGACGTTCTCGAGGAGAAGCTCGTCCGGCGACGGGCTAGCGAGCAGTGGCGGCGTCTGCGTCAGCGGCGTCGAGATTTCGGTGAAGAACTGCAGCGTCGAGCCATTGTCCGCCGTCTGCTCGACAATGGCCCTAGTTAGAGACGATATGAGATGCTTCGTCATGGTGGGGCCGTCGCACCAGCCCGAGCCGTTGAACGTGATGGCGAGCGGATCGAACGGCAGGAGCGCGTCTTCAATGATGTTGCGCCAGACCACAATCTCGCGAGTCTCTTCGATGAAGCGCTTGATGACGAGGCGGGACTCGGCGACCGTGCCCGGGCTGATCTGCCACCGACTCTTCATGTACACCATGTTGTCTTCGGGCGATCCGAGGTTCTAATGACATGTCATCGCGCATGCAGTAATCGTACGCCACAGAGAGTACCTCGAAGCTGTCGCTGCCATTTGCTGCGTCGTTGACGTGGTCGGCGTTGAGGAAACTCCAGATCGCGTGGCCGAGCATGCGGAACGGCACGTGCGCGAAGGCGAGGCGGTTGAAGCTCTCGATGACGATCCCTGGACGCACGCCGTCGTCGAGGTACTTGACCGTCGTCGACTTGACCGTGTGCGTCTCGTGCAGCTGCCGCTGGAGGTACAGGTTGAGAACCTTGTTGTACTCGCGGTCCGCGATCGCAGTGAACGCGGCCGCGCGCTCGGTCGCATCGGCCACGAGCTTGAACTCTTGCCAGTTGCTGTCTTTAGTCGTTGGGAGCTGGAGAACTTTCGGGCGCTTTTGCACGATCCCGGCGAGCGTCTCTGCGAACGCGAGCTCGTCTTGGAGCGCAGCCTTGAGCCGAGCGTTCTCCATGATCGCGAGCTGCATCTGGAGCTGCTGATCCTTGGCCATGTCCTGCCACTGCGCGCCGGCAAGGACGGTCTCGGTCTGCATGGAGCCGAGGATCGCCATCTGCTTCTCCATCTCCTCGACCTTCTTGCGGAGGTAGTCGAGCTCGAGCTTCTGGTGGTTGACGTACTTGCGCTTCCGCGGCTGTCCGTCGTCGGCAGGCGGCGCGTCACCGCGGAGAAGGGCCTCCATCGTCGTCCTCTCGAGCTCGTCCGCCATGCAAGACATCAGCAGGATTACTTTATGGAGGACGCTGGTGTTCCGCATTGCGCCCATTGGTCAATTATCGCATAAATGGCGCGAGGCCATTGGCTGAAAGGAGAAATGGCCGCCTTTCTCGCCGTCGTCGCGTCCTGCTCGAACAACGACGTCGACGACGACGCGCTCATGAGTCATTCAAACGACGCACGTCGCAACGAACGAGGCCGTCGATCGCATCGAGTACTCATGTCTAGTACTATGTCTCTCTTTGCCTTGTCCCTTGATTTTTTCTGTGATTGAGACGACTTTGATAAAACGCAGAGACAGGCGTGTTGACGGAAACGGCAAGCAAAAGGTTGAGAGGTCATGCAGCAGCGAGCTCGCAGTGCTACAGGCGCTGCGATCGCACAGTCCACCGCATTTAACCAAGGAGATAGCGACGCATAGGAACGCAACGCGCAGCGACGGGGCAGCCTTCGCTGGGTTGCTAGTACGTCCTCGTCGACCTTGAACGGACGAAGTACGCTGAAGCTGGACGTGGCGGTTCTGAGCTTAGGTGGCTAACTGGTTGCCACCGAAACACACCGCTTTGGTGCACGAGCCTCGTCTGTCGTGAAGAAGAAAATGTCGACATCTTGAAACCCTCCAGCAAACTGAAATATGAACGGGAGATTTTACCACCAGAGTTGGGACCTCAGCCAACCAAGCCGACCACAATGGCAGCATCTCAACACAATAAAAACCAACAACAGGAGTCTTGGTAGCTGCCTCACGCCGTTTTGCGCTAAGTACAGAAGGTTCGATCGATCGCTAATCCTGCAAACACGGCACTTCCAACCTCAAGTCTCGCAATAAGTCGAGCTGCCATGCGTCGTTGCTCTTGCCATGCCGCTGCGTTCTGTGGCTTAGCTACGGTGAGCGAGGTCTCGGACGTCGCTGGCCACCGTCGAGCATCCTCCAGCGGCCCTTGCTCGGCTGCAGATCGCAGTCAACCCAGCAAGGCATCGTGTACGAACGGTGCGCCAACGGCCGCAATAAGATTAGAGTGTACATAGGATAAGAAAATCTAGGCAAACTTTTCCGAGTGGTAGTCAAAGTAGGTGCCACCGGTCTCGGGCTCGCTCGAGTATTTGTGGCAGAGGTCGCCGAGGACCTTGTCGAGGGCGTGGGGGCCGCAGAAGAAGACGCCGACCTCTTCGCCCTTGTGCTTGCGGCGCAGGTCGCGGAAGATGGCGTCCCAGTCCGGTCGGCCAAAGTGCGTCATCTGCTTGGACTTCATGCCCGAGATCACATCCGTGCCGGTCTCCTTGTGCATGAAGCTCTGAAACATCTTGAGCGGCGCCGCGCGCTGGTCGTCGCTCTTGAGCGTACTCAGATACTGGTGGATCTCGATGATGTTGTCGCGGTCCATGCTCGCAATGTCGTTCATGGTCTCTTGGAACCACCCGAGCGACTCTTGGCCGCGCGTCGTCCAGTGAAAGTACATTTTCTGGATCTTGAACGAACTCGGGTGCCGGACGCAGTTGCAGTTGCGGCACCGGTACTCGTCCCAGAGGTGCACGACGTCCTTGAGGATCGACGCGAACGGCGTGACGCCAATGCCGCCGCCAATCATGACGATCGTCTTGAACCGGTGGTAGTCTTGGGTCGGCGCGCCGACGGGGCCATCCACGTAGACGCTTGGGTACACCTTCGTGATCGCCGCCTTCTTGATGAGCTCGTGGAGCGCATGCGTCCAGTCGCCTGCGTCGCGGATGTGCACGCCGAGGTACTGGTCGCCCGGTGCCGACGAGATCGTGAATGGGTGCCACTCAAAGCCCGAGATGGCCGGGACGTTGAGGAAGATGTACATGCCCGGGCGGTAGACGAACCGCTTCGGCTTCTCAATGTACAAGGCGACGGTCCCGTCGTACATTTGCGCGCGCATGATCTTGAGCGGCACGGTGAAGAGCTTGGTGTACCGCAGCCGGCGCTCGACGAGGTAGATGAGGAACGGCGGGAGGATCCAGTACTCGGCCTGGGCCTTCGAGAGCCACGAGGTGGCGCCGTGGAAGCAGCCAATGACAAGGAACGGCAGGAAGAGCATGTGCGAGTACCAAAAGAGGTTGAACTTGCCTTGGCGGAAGCGCGGGATCGCGGCCAGCGGGAACGATACAAGCGTAATCAAGAGGAGGACGACGCCCGTGAGGACCGGGAGCTGGACGACCATGGTCGAGAAGGGCGGGAGCGTCCCGTTGGCGAAGAGGCTGCAGTTGCGCTGCACGAAGATCGATCGCGCAATCTCGTCGGGCGTCGCAACAAGGTAGAGCATGATCTCGTTCGAGACGTGCGCACCCGTGTGGATGAGGCCCGCGATGAGCAGCACGGAGCCCGTGATCTTGTGGAACGCAATGTTGTCGTCGAACGGAATGAGCTGCCAGAGGAGCGACGACCGCTTCATGACCTGAATGATGCTGCGGCACATGGGCAGGAGCACGAAGAGAAAGTTGAGCATGACGACTTGGGCGCAGCCGCGGGCGATCTGGAGCCCGTACCCGAGCGCCGGGTCAAACTTGTAAGCCGACCATTTCGCGACAAACGCGATCGCGTTGAGAAGAAAGTACAGAAGGAGCCAGAGGATGCGCAGCGAGTGCTTCTCCCAGATCGGCGCCAAGCCCGTGCGGGGCAGTGGCACGACGTTAGTGCCATACGCTGCGACCTCGTCGTCGGCGGCATCGTCGTTGGCGGCTTGGAGCAGCGGGAGAAAGACCGCGCGGAACTGGTCGTAGCCCATGATGTCGTCGACCGCGTTGGCCTTCTCGAAGAGGACGCGCGCCATTTCGTTAAAGTTGGCGCCGACGGCGTGGAGCTTGAACTGCGCAAAGTTGGCTTCGAGGAGCCGCGCAACCTGCGGCTGCGTGATGGCCTCCGTGTGGCCCGGATCAAAGAGCTCGAAAATGAACCGCAGCTTCTCTTCGAGGTCGAGGTCGAGCTCCATACAGGCGTCGACGAGAAGCGCCTTGGTGTCGATCGTGTCGACGCTCTCCATCATGGACACGTAGTCGTCGTCTTCGGTGTTCTGCATAGTCGCCATGTAGTCGTGGTGGCCAACGTCAAAGGTCGCCGAGAACGTGGCGCGGTCGACCATGCCGTTCTTGTCGGCGATGCCACTGAGCACATCCTTGAGCGCCTGCAGCTTGTAGCGCGGGTCCGCCGGCGCCGCGCTCGTGCCACGAGCGCTGTCAAAGATGTTGCTGGTCCGGTCTTCCATCATGGGCGTGCGCAGCGCGTCGCCGCCCCGCGTCGACGACATTTCGCTCATCGATGGCATGTACGACGACGCCATCGAGATGCGCGAGAGGCGCGTCGCGACCGCCGACGACCGCAGCATCATGTCGACCTTGGAGCTGCGATGGCCTTTCCGGTGCAGGCTAACGCGGGCGTCCGGTCCGCCGATCGTGACCACGTTGTACTCGGGCGTCGTGAGGTGCGTGTACGTGTGCTGGGCCGTCATGGGCCGCGGCTCCTTGACCTCGTCCTCGCCGATGAAGGAGAGGACGTTGGCGCCCTGGCGTGGCGGAGCCTGCATAATGAAGAATGGCCGGCGAGGAGCGAGCGTCGTCGCTGGGCGCATGGTTCTGCGTCCCGTGTCTCGCTGATATTTCAGGCCCGATTCTCCCTACAAACATCGATCGAGCCGTTGTCGAAACGGATTTTTCCACGTTATATTGGGATTTTGCACCAATATTCAACCCATACTGACTGTTATAAGGGAAAAGCTTCGACGCGGCTGTTACGTTCCGGTGCTCATGCTGGCAAAGTCGCCCGTGGGACAGGACGATTCGAAGGCATTACATCTACCAACCTCTCGGCGCGGTGACGCCGCAACGGCGGCGGAGGTGGAGGAAAGCACATGGCCTCCATCCCAATCAACCGAGCACGTGGCGTTCCGCGCTCGCCCAAGGAAAAGAGCAAATGCATCGAACGCAAGCGGCAAAGAGACGAGGTTGACGGCTCGCTCCATGGACACGGAGATGTATTACATGTATTAGGTATGGTCGGAAGCGAAGGCGATGTGAATGTACCACCGAGACGTCTGGCGACCGTAGCGGGCAAGTCTATCAGGGCAAGCCATGGATGATGGTGGGGAGAGGATTGGCGGCACGTTGGGATTGTGCTCGGAGCGCGTGGACTAGAAAAACCCGTGGCGAGCAATGTGCCATGCGGACGCAGAGTCGGTGCCGTTGGCTTCAATCGTAGCAGGACCTGCTGGCGGCTGAGAATGACATTACGCGCCGTTGGTATCGTTGGGAGGGCGGCGATTCCTGCAGACCAATCTTCTTGAGGAAGCACAACGGATCTGGTCGAGCCTTGGACCCGATGGCTCGTGCGTGATGGCAGTACACTGCGTACAAGGACCGAAATCGTTCTTCGCTTGGCATCGGCGAATTGAAAAAGGTATCCAAGTTACATGTACCACGGTCCATGACGACCGTCCGCGGACGCCTTGGTGCATATTACGTCGTCGACACGCGTGGGACGATGACTGGACCGTGCTTGTACGTGCGCACCATGTCATGGTTCAAGACATGGATGTTCGAATGATTGTATCTCCTTGGCAGACAACTTGTGCACATTAGCGACACGCTTCGCCACGTGATCTTTAGGTCTTGAAAGATACAGAGGCATTGATACGAAGGTGTCTATCTAGTGCTTGGACTGTACGTACCTCGTAGCATGGACACATTTGACGGCTTCCGGACGACCAGGCGGCAGTGGCGTCTTTTACACCCCGCGTGTCTTTTCGCATGTCACGCTGACTCTGCCGGCGAGACGAGCTCGCCTCATGTGAGCCAGTGCCTCCTCGGCGGGCGGCTCTTCCAGTTGGATGCGAAAGCTGAATACTTCTCCCGCCATCTTCAGCGTTGGTCCGTGGAGCAGAAGCTGTCGTTAGTTTAGTCAGTACAAACCACGAAGCAAATGCCAAGCTCCATGAACTGGCAAAGGTTGTGTGGGTTGCGCCGGGCACGAGCTTTTACATGGGGCTTGCAGGTATTCGTCGTCTCGCAGCAATCGTAGTCTCCAGCAACTTTGCCGTTCCATGGTCACGACGGTGTCTCGTGGTGCCACGTCATAACCGCCACGAGGCTATCTTTGGCGCCTTTTTCCAGCGTCAAGCGGCAGTGGAGAACCATGCGCGACGACTTTTACTCGGGTTTTCTTCTGCGCGGCCATGCGCCGCGCGCCAAGTCAACGAAGGATATCAACGCGCAGTACGTGGACCCGTCGCTTCTCGAGATGCTCGGCATCAAGCTCCCTGCGCCGTCCGCACCCGAGCTGCGCTTGGCGCCAATGCGACTCTTCTTTGTGTTGACGCCATCCCGGATGGACTACTACCTCGTGGACCCGCGGCCCAAGTTTAAGCTCCCGATAAGTGGGTCTTTTGCGTTTAACCGGTCGACCGAGGTCGCGGTGTGCAGCGAAATGTGGCCCGGATTGCCGCCGCACACCTTTTGCCTCACGTACGACACTCTTTCATTTTGCTGCATATCGAGACGAACGATTAGGACCAACGGGCAGACGTTGGTGCTCACGGCCAAGACCCACGGCGACATGACCCTCTGGCTCACGCATCTTCAGGCGACGCTGGCGCAATTCCCCTTCGTGCTACGCAGCATTTTGTTGAAAAAGTCGGACAAGTACCCGTGGAAGCCGTGGACCAAGCGCCACGTGGAGCTCGGGGAGTCGTGCGTGAGCTACGCGAACGCGACGCCCGGCGCCAAATCCGTGCGCAACCACGTGCGGTTGACGGCCCACGCATATGTGCAGGACCTTCCGCCGACCAAAGCCCACGCGTTCGTCTTTGGCATTGCCACCGCGCACACAACACTGACGTTTGCAGCGACGAGCGATCAAGAGAAACAAGAGTGGATGACCGAGCTCGAAGTCCGCATCCTTCGCCACAAG